CCGTTAATAACAGTTTCTTGCATTTATCAACGAACATAATCCCAAAAATTATTATTTCAGAAAATGCTAATAACTGTTAATAGAAACCAATATCTGTAAATAATTGTAAGAAAATGATAGTAGCTATTACTATCTGTTATACGTGTCCAAAATCTGACGTTTTAAAACTGTTATAAAGTGCCATTAATTGTTACTAACAGTTGTTCGCATAAATTATTTCCGACAGGGAAGTAAACAATATCGGGTACGGGTAGGACATACGAATACGTCCTCGATATTTATATTGCGCCCTGGAACGGGCGGGATGTATACTTTACTACTACTATGGTAATACGTCATTCATACACGTCTTAGTGGAAAAGGACGCGCCCGTTATATGTTGCGTAATTAGAAAGGGATTTCCCCGAAGAATATTACTTGCGCAAAAGACAAAGAAACTTGTAATTTTGCGAAATTCGTGCACCACCAAGTGTAACAAAAGGTCAACTTGTGCCGCACAATCATCATTGATTTATGCGACACGCAGGTAGTTGAATCGGTTTTTAATAAAAGACTGGAAATAGTATTTTCTTCAAATTTTAGTTCTTCTGTTTGTATAACACCGCTGACCTTGACCAAATTTACTTAGCTTGCATCATCTACGGAGAAATAAACCTCTCATAGATATAGTTTCCTTCTAAGTTACTTAAAATCTATAAATTATTTAGTAGAGAGTGATGTGTAAGATACACACCGGGTCTGCGAGGTGTATTACTCTCACAGCAAGTGTGTGAATTGGCCGTTGCATGTACTAGATTAATTAAGAATTGTTGCTGTTTGAATAAGACAGTAATAATAATCAGTTATCGCTCCTAACACCTAATGTTTCAATAACCAATTCAAGAAAACTTTTTTTCTCTGTGACAAAGCTTTCTTTACAAGAAAGCAAAAACTATGGCGACGAGTTTAATTAAGTAAACACAGATGATCGTTTGATAGTACGACAAAGAATTTACTATTAAGTGTTACGAATCATCAGAACTATTCCAACACGGAACTTCGAAAAGAAATAATTCAACTTCAAATGAAATTCCGTTTGTGAATATTACTAAAAATGACAATTTGTGACTACCTTCGTATACTTGCCGAAACATGTTCTGATAATGGTTTCAGTAAATGAAAAATCAAAATTAATTTATGCTTCGATTGCTGATAGCGCTACTATTTTAATAAACGATATGGCTTTTATAGAACGTTTATCGGTATACCTAAACTCGAAACGAATATTCATGCCATTCATGTGAAAGACATCGCAGGTAAAAAGAAACATCGTTGAAGACAAACTATCCAAGTAAAATTCGATAATTTTTATAATCCTAATTTGACAGCTAATTTGTATAACAAACTTCCTCGTTCCTCTCTTTTAAGCATTGGTGTTCGATTGAATGCTACAGAGAACAAAAATAAATCAAATTTAGACGTATTAGCTGAATTTATACTTTTAGAAGTAAATCTGAGAATGAATGCGAAGGTAATTCCCATTTAAAGCGTATGATTCGCAAATGCGTTATGAAAATGAAAATTGAAATAACACAAAAACTATTTATTTACCGAAGTTAATGGTATAGATACTTCAGTAACAAAGTGTAAAATTCATATTTTAGTTTTCGTTGTAAGTGCAAGTTCCACTTATTCATGAAATATTTTGAAACTATTTTCATAATATTTATGTAAAATTTGACAATGATTCGTATTTTATAAATAATACGTCTATTGTGAATTGTTATTCATCCAGACAAACAATTAACAATCAAGTCGTCAGATTATGTTAACAACAAATTAATATTCACCTAAAGGCATTTAACGTAGTTCCGCTTATGTTATATGAGACAAGATGATTGTAGGCTTATATTAACATGTGTAACGTCGGGCCGTTTATTAGCAATAAATTATTTTTTTTCCTCATGTACTTTTGCGTAGCTTAAATTTTAACTCGGTAAACTAGCAAAGGAGAGCCTTCAGCTGAAGCAGCTGGAGGACATGTGAAAATAGCCGTCCCTTTATCGCGCACTTTCCGAAGTTTACCTCGAACGATCGTAAAGTTTTTTTTGAGTAGGTTTAGATATAGAGTAAAGGAGCCGCGGAATTCCGCCTGCATCCTGTTATTCGATTTCACCCAAAAGATTTCCACTTTTAGAAGCTAAAACTTTTGCTATATAAAAAAAAAAACCTTAATAATTAATTTTACATAAATGAATCGGGAAAATAACAGCATGATAGGAAAATTTCGCGGCTTCTTGAAACCTCCCACACACTTTTTGATTAGAAACATAGTTGCCGCGCAATCATTGAAAATAACTCGAAGTTTTAAAATTACAAATTAGAAAAATGAGGTAAATAGTCGAAAACAGTTACTTAAACGAATTTTAGCAAATCAGTTATACAGTCCACAATTAAATAATACCCTTTTTTCGTTCCAATTTATTTAAACAACGAAGTGAGTTAATTAATTAAGTTACTAATTGTAAACATGTAGAATCAAAAGATTTTCGCGTAAAATATGTTTAATAATAAGGAACTTGCGTTATTTTTAAGAATTAATTGTAATAATTTTATATAATAAATAAATTAATAATTATAAGAGAAACTGTAATAAAAATGGTACTTGGAGAGTCATCTAGCGAGATAAGGCCCAAACTCTTGAACGCGCGCCCCCAATTCTCACCACGCCCCTGAACCAATTAGGGCCCGAAATCCGAAGGAGAAAAGGAGGGAAAATCTCAGTCAGCCAATTAGAATTCATTGGCATTTCCACTCTTCCCAAATTTTAAGGGACTGAAAGAGGGATTTTCCTCCCAACCACCCCCAGGGTTTAAAAGGGCGTGCGCAAGCGAAAATCGCTCTCTCACGCTCCTCGCAAGCTTCTAAGTGCATCTCGCTCGACCAAGTGCCAGGTCCAGATTGATTTCTCCAAGTACCAGGACATTAAATAAAAGAAAAGTAAGTTGAAACAAAATTTTTATTCACTATCTCTCCTTTTCCTCTTCTTGTTAGCGTAGCCGATCGAAACTCGTGAGAAATAGGTCTTTGAAAAAGTATTTCAGCAGGAATTGGGATACTTTTTCAATAAGACAGTCGCCCCGTTAAACAAAATTTAAAATATTTTTTATGTGATAATTCCAGCAAGGTTTGAGATTTTCACATCCAAGTCCCGATTCCATTGGACCCTGGTGTTTGACGGAAGGCTTGTTGTCCAGTTTATTTTTTACTCTTTTTACGCGAAACGCGAAGTAGAAAAGCTCTAATTCTCCAATCGCTCGTCCCGGTTTAAGCGTACGCACGCAAACCAAATAGAGCGCCTGAGATTACGTCCGCCTCAGACGTACCTGAGATAGTGACCCGGACGTCACACATGCGAAATGTGTACAATTTATAATGACAAATTGGTAGTTTCTCGTTGCTTATCGAGCTAGGTAATACACGGTACTCCCCACCGAAATCAACAATAAAATAATTACCATTGAAAACTCTCGATTAAAACTTCGTCAAAAACCTTTGGATCGCGGGATGATAAACATAATATCAATCTTGATTCAGATGAAACAAAGCGGTTCAAATACATTGATATCACGGAGAAAAAAAGTTAGTTGAAACAATGATACCTGGTTCACCAATATAGACAATGAGGTTTTTTACGTCGATTTAATAAACCAGAGGTCAGTTCAATTTAATCGACCAGAGAATGGTTAAATGAACATCCATCTCTATGTATTGAAACTATAAACTGAAAGAAATTGGAATGCCGGAATATGATATTGAATCAATGCAAATAGATGTTTTAATCCAACTACTAAAATGTATTCAACCCAACCATTTGATCGAATTTTCTCAAAAGAAATATATGAAAAAATATGTTATTTAACGTAGATATTTCTTGACTGATGAAGTTTTTATCTCCCATGTACCCCGAAACGCTATACATTTTATGAAATTCAATGAGACGCCAATTTACAACGTCGGTAATCGAAGGATATTCGCATATTTAAAATTGTAATCTATACATGATATCGCTCGCTCGGTACAATCAATCGCACGCATCGCAGATAAAGCATTCGCACATACATTTTTAAAAATCAAAAACTTCGTCGGTCTTATATACTTAGCGTCATGTTTGTCAGCCACTTGAAGAAAGTACAGTCCCTCTATCGGTCTATAGGAGAACGTTCAGTAAGTATGTAGGACTTGCATTCATTTCATTTTTAAAGTATGATGAACTTATTAATAAATTAGAAGAAAAACTATAATTGATATGAAGTCAGTTATTTTATTTATTCAATGGTACAGGAAATATACATTTTGTTATTCGCTAACTTAAAAAAATTGTAGCAGTAATGTTTATTTACTAACTCTTTGAGAGGAAGCAACAACCATTCTTCCGTACATTCCACTTGATAAGCGCAAAAATGATTTGAATAGCCAATAGTTTTTAAATTTTTGCATAAAAAAATAACATCTTTAGAATAATTATTTGATAATACATGTATTATTTCTGCAAAATAAATAGAAAATTCTTCTATTTTTCTAATAATAATCAGATTGGGAGCATACGTGATTCCAAAATGTGATATCCAAGAAAGTGGAAGGTAATTATTTTTAATATCAACTGTGATAACATGTCTGAACTTTTGATATTCCGTTAGTAAAGTCACATTTTGCATTATAGTTTTGCCGCATTCCAATCTATCATGAAACCCACGACTAGTAAGAAATCTATAATTAAGTTTCAATTGATGCCTTTTCGCTAACGAAAGCGATATATTTACTCTTGATGTTATAGACTTTGCTATTTTTTTCAAATCCGCGTGTTTCCCTTCGAACCTAATGCACGAAAATAAGCGAAAAGGGCCTAATATTTTAAGCATTCTGATGTACTATATAATGAAGCAAATGGTGATGTTTTGGTTTTAATGGCTTTTTCGTTAGATTTATGTAACTCTGAAGATGTTTTTCAATGTGATTTTCTAAGTGATTAATTTTATCTGCAATGAGAGCATCATAACTAAAGAAACCAATTTATGTAAAGATACGTACAAGTTCCATGCTTTGCTATTATTAGGTACAAGATCGCCGACAAATAAACTTAGATTATTTAATAAAAAGTTCATTTCTGAAGCACTCATTACTAACATTTGATTTTTAATATGTTCTAACTTGATAATTGGTGTCACGTTTTTTTTCATTTTACTATGATAATCGAAATTTTCCATTCTTTGTTTCAATTGTGTGTATGCAAACTGTTTTTCGATGAATATTAAATGGTACAGTATAGTCGCTATTTCGTATCTGCAAATCCCTTCTAACAGATCGTGCATTTGGTCGAAAGAAACATTTTGAAAAATATTAAATCCAGGTAGTTTTTCAAATATAGACTTCTGCTTAACTCCGTTTTGCTTTGATGCAACATCATCGTTATGTTTTTCAGTGGAACGCATTTTTTTTACATTTTCTTTCGTCGCAGTTTGACATTCTTCTTTCCTCATATAACAGAGTCTGCAAGGATGTCTACTGTTGAAGCTTTCGTGGAATCCAAGAACATTATGCAGTTCTAAGTTATCGCCAGAAAAATTAAATAAACATAAATAAACCTTGTAGGCTTGCCCTTTAACTGTTATATCAATTCCATTTTCTTGTAAATCACATATTTGTTGCATTACTGGATTGTAAAGTTTTGACATATTTATCATTTTTTTATATGAAGATTTATACAGTTGAAATAAAAAAATATTTTCAAGTAAACTTGAATATTCAGGTGGCAATCCGACAATACAACAATACAATGCATGCTCCTTATTTACACCGCTATGAGATCCTAGAGGATTGTTGACTTCAAAGACGTCTCCATAAACGCTAAAAGGTATTACTATTTTCCCAACGTATTTTTGTTTAATCTCATTCCATTTTTCACTTTTATAAACAGAACATAGGCATTCACATTCTTCCATTTTCTTAATATAATCTATTATCACAGAAAATACATTTGGTAACTCAAGGTACTTTTTAAACACTTCTTTTATCAGTATCATAATAACCGTAAGTTTCATTTGTGTATATTTTTTTTTAATCTCGAAACTCTTTTAAAATGGAAGATAGTCGCAACGTGTACAACATTAGGTTCTATATAATGACATTTTTTTAACATTTTTAACATTTTATAAGAAGTATTATAATTGCAAAATATATCTCGCATAATATTCAAAACTTCTAAGATTTTTTCATCTTCGCACTTTTGTTTGCTTAAAATTAATAATTTGTTAACAAAATTAAAATTATAAAATCTTTGAAATGCCAGTATGATAGATAGTATAGTTTTCATAGGCAAAAATACAATACTGTATAAATAACTAATAAAAACATCAACTATATGACATAGATTTTTTTCATAAGTAACTTTTTGATTTTCTATAAATACGAGTGGTTCATCGCATTCAGTTCTAGGATTAAAAGTGTTTGTACTTATTAAGTTTGAAAATTCAACTGGCATGTCACTTTCTGAACTTACACTATCAATTTCTTTTTTTCCACTTTTGCATTGTTGGACATTTGCTAACGGCTGTTTATCTGCGAACTTTTGAGATCGATTTGTATGTGATTGGAAATGTTTACTGAAAGAACTGATATTACTAAAACTTCTTTTGCAATTAATATCTCTACATTGCAATCTGTGGCAATCGCCTAAATGCCTCAGCTTTAAATGTAATGTAATATTTTTTAAATTGGTAAAAGTATCAGTGCATAATGGACATGAAAATGTTTTCATATTGAATATTGTTTGATTAACATAAAGGCTTATTACAAATAAATATAAAAAGTTAAAATATTCGACTTTCAACTCAAAGGGGTAAGAGGCATCCCATATCATTCAGTAGTTCATTAAGACTAATAAACGACGAATCCCATTTCGTACGAAATTTATACAGCCCTAACTGTAACATTAACCAAATGTGTTCACTTTGGATTGTATAACAAGCATTGTATACATGGAAAGCTTTAAAGCAAACATCTACAGCTTCTAACAATGACGGAATTTCGTACAATGTGTCGTCTATACATAAATATACTGAATTCACCTGATAATCATCTTCTTCTACCACAATTATATAAGGTTGGACTGTCAAATTCTTACTTCTTGCATTCTGACGCCGGTCTATTTTGACTTGTTCTATGTCAGCATGAATCTGTGAAATATAATAAACACCATTAAATTAAAAAATAGTATTCAAAATCAGCTCTGCTGTACAAGATTATAATTAAAAGTGATCAATTTTTTAAGTTGTAATAAAGTATCTCACATATGAGATTAGAAAACATGAAGTAATATAAAAATATAACCTTCGTTCGTGTAACAATGCCTTCCAAAGATTCAACGGCTGATGGCTTCCACCTTTTTCTCCCTCCTATTGGAATTCTCGCAGTTGATGGCAATAAAATGCACAAAAGCATCAAACGAATTAAAATCCCATCATCTGATAATGAAAAAAAATGTATACTGTTACAATGTAAGAATTTTATAAAATAAAAGAAAATGAATCACATGATTTATTATTGTATAAACAATTCAGTTGAGAAATATATCTTGGATAAAAAGACAATAAACAAAATAAAAAAAATTCTAATTGTAATGAAACAAAAAGAAAAATCTGTTATAAAATACCTTCTTTCAAATTTTCTTTTATCTCTAGCAAATTTACTAAAAAATTACAATGCTCATCTTTTGGCAAAGGATGTGCATCAAGAGCTGATGTAACAAAGTCTTTGAAATTTTTGATGCAATCAGAGTCTTTGGTTAACTTAGCGAAACAAAAGTCTTCCACAATCAATTGATATCCTTTTGGAGTTGTTAGTACTGGCCATTCCTCATATATATTTGATATTTTATTTCGAAGTTCATTTTCTATCAGATTATGCCTATACTCAGCAGTTATTTTCCAATGATGTAAAACTTCCTCCCAAGGTTCCTCTGCACTTTTTAACCAATCAATACTGTTTTTTATTTCTTGGGTTACGTCAAAATGAAAATTTTGCTCTGCTTGCTGTGTCACGCCTTGATTAGGTTCATCTAAATAAATCTGAATTTTGATTGATGTACTTGTTCAACAGATTCCCTTTAGCTGGCTTTTTCTTTCCTGTCGGAGACTTTTTCTTTGATGTGCCTGGTTCATAATAAACCCATACACATTCTTTTAGAAACAGGTTTACTATTTTATTGCTAATGACTTTAAAATCACGGCCATCTAAAGGTCTAAAATGAACAGTTTTTCGTAAGTTACTTTTATTTTTCAACTCACAAACATAATATTAATGCTTATTTACCTATTGCAATTACTCATAATACCAGCGATGACAAGATGCACAGGCCTTTTCCTTTGCCGGGTGTTAAGAAACTTTTATGTTTCTGCCATGACAGAACTTGTCTACCTTCAAAACTCCTTTCTAATATTTTCTTGATATCAACATTATCAATGGAAAAGATTGTATTATTTTCAATTCTTGTTCGGCGAATATTATTTATGTCAATGTTTTCTTCAGATTCTTCTTGATCTTCTGAGAAAGTATTACGTTCAGCACTTGCCTCTTCATTTTCATAAGCGTCTTCTCCTTTCTACAAAAATATGACACTAATATATTACATTATCACAAAATTCAATATCTGAAATGAATATATTTATAACACGGCAACATGTACGTTATATTGTTTTTGAGGTTATGGAATATCATTCGATACACAAATTTATTTATAGTAGGAATTCAATAGTAGATTCTTAATCTTTTACTCACATAAATTTTACGACCAAAAAAATTTTCAATTTGCTCTACAAATTAGTTCAAATTTTCTTTCGGGACGATTTCTTTGATTATGTCAAAATCGTTTAGTAAAGTCTCAACATTGTCAACTGCTTCGTGATCTGATTAAACGTAACAAAAAAAAATAAATTGAAAAAGTCACGTATATACTTGTATAAATATATCACTTACTCTCAAATTTGCCTATTAGTTCACTGAATCCTATTGCTTGTAGTATATCCGACAGTGTAGATGCCATTTTGACTTATATATAACAAATGCCGGTACAAGAAAGGTCGAGAATGTAAACAATAAAGTACATATGCTACCGCGTGTTCCAAGAATGTCTATTGTTTGCTCGAATTAATTTTCTCTTTTGTTATAGAATAAATATGGAACCGCACATTAGATATCACTGTCATTGCACTGCATTCCACAACATTTCACCGATATTAGGTATCGAGAGATCGGCGGTGACAGGATCGTTTCGAGGACAGGCTGTTATGAAAATTTAGATATGTGCGCATGCGTTAAACTCAGCCTGGCGCCCGGTCGTCTAGCATGTGACTTGGTCGTATGTTTAGGCTGTACACTGACACAAGCAAGCATACAACCGCCAATCAGAATATTAACAAGATATAACAAGAATCTTATTAACTTTATTACATAGTAGACGTAGGAGTACATATTTTTATAAAAATTCTCATTGTTTCAATAGAATAATTATATTTTTACGATCGACCATTTGTTTATTTCAGTAAGTAATTATGTTAATTTAATGAATAATCGTTCGTTAAATTAGCTGAGAATCGTTTTTGGAATCAAATAAGAGTCATTTGTTGAGTTAACTGATATGAGCGTTGAATCAACTCAGACTTTGGCTAATATACTTCAACATTGATAAATTTAATGAATCAAAGGAAATACAGTTATTATTTCAAAGTATATGTTATTGTTCTAATAGAACATTCATTATTACAATTAAGTTTCAAATTTGAATCAATGTATTATGCTATAGTCGCTTTAATACACATGAGTGCTATAGATTAATAAAATTATTTGCTAATCTAATGAACTCTATATTGTGTCAATAGAAAATCTGTTGTATCGACAGATTTTTCGTTCAAATCAATGAATCCACTCGGTTGTCTGTATTTATTTGACCAGAATCGTTGTTTTAACCAATTTTTTTTCGCAGTGTATGAGTGTTTCGTATGCAATAAAAATTTTAGGTTCAACGAACAATTATAAATATTGTTCTTGGCAAGAAAGGTTGCTTTGGGAGTTAGATGAAAACTCGTTCATTATATCTTGATTATACGCCTCAGAAATGAAATTATATTGTGGGTTTGCAATAAAACTGAATAAAAAATTGAAAAATAAAAAGAATAATCACAAGATTTTGTATAAGAACTTGCACAATTATTTATATTATTTATCAAGCAAGTTACGTATATAAAGCTAATTACCGCATCCGTATTGTTTTCGGTCATACCATAAATTTAATAAGATGAGAAAAAAAGATTACTACTAAAACATCATTTACATTACTTAAAATATTGGCTTAATTTTGTTAAATTACTCACCACTGTTAGTTTAACTTAAAGTCGAATAAAAGTATAAAAGTCTCATAGAAGCCTTCATCAAAGAAAAATCGTTTGCAACCTGAAAAATGCATTGATAATAATTTTAGTATTTACCAATTATTTGCGTATTCGTACAACGTTTCTACGAAAAAAAAAAATAAAAACGCTTTTGTTTACGGTGACTATTGAGAGTTGAATTGAAGTCTCTCTCTCTCTCTCTCTCCCTCTCTCTCCCTCTC